TTTATGTATTGTATTAATACTGCCAGGAGAGAGTCATTGTGTGTCAGTAAATGATGTTTTAAATCTATCTACTAATTCCAGAAATCTCTATCTGCCCAACTGTCTGTATGTGGAATACATATCTTGAGAATGGTTCATCTAATGATCAATCAACTGTAACTGCAATTAATTAGCTCTTTTTTCCTGTTATCTGTTGCTACTGATGATGGTTTTAAAGTCAAACTGACACTACAACAAAGCCTCTGTTCTTTTTGGGAGTAAATCTTTCTCTTTGTGTTAGTGTTAATGGAACTCCTGGTGTGAAGTTGATGGTAACCTAATATAGCCTGATTTTGTGTTGGAAAATCTCAATCTAAATACAACAATTATTAATTTGTTATGGTTGTGCATGCTAGAGTTTTTGTTTCTGCAAATAGAATTGCACGGTCAGGGCATGTTTTCAGCCGGGGAGAAAAACAACACAGTTTAACAAGTCCATCCACAAGATCAGGAGTGCAGGTCTCAGTGTAACAGACCAGCTTACACACATTGCATACATGCTCATTTCTGCCAACAGGTCTTTTTCCACAGCAGACATTTTGAACTGTCATTAACAATGGCTCTGAGCCATAATCCACCAGCAGCTAAATGGAATTCAGGCATCAATGTAGTTTACACCAGTGCTTTTCTTACTGTGACATGTTAAAGGTCCAGTGTGTAATATTTAGGTGAAATGGACCTATTGGCAGAAATTGAATATAAAATAATCCTTGTGATTTTTTCACTAGTGTGTTTCAACTAAATTGTACAAAGTATTTTCTTTACCCCAGAATTGGAGCTTTATATTTAAATACTTTATATGTACATCAGGAGCAGGTCCTCTCTATGGAGGCAGACATGTTTTTTACAATAGTCCAGACTGGACAAACTAAACACCTTTTGAGTTTTTATGACAATTAAAGGCTACCACAGGTTCTCTTTCAGGTTTGGAAGGGGAGGATGAGGTGAGGGGTGTTCAGCTGCAACATGCAACTACACCACTAATTTCTAAACACTGAACCTTTAATGAAAATTGTGTCATGACTCTGGACTTTAACCCTGATATGAAGAGTATTTTTGTTTCATTATGGACTCTTGTGTTTATGGTCTTTTCCTGCCTCCTTGTGTTTAGGTTTGTGTTCTCCCTGAGTTCTGTGTTTCCTGTTTTATTTTGTAGTTTTCCCTCCTTGTGTGTTTCCACCTTGACTTCCTGTCTTTGTCTTGTTTCTCACCCTGTGATTGTCTGCACTTGTTTCTCATGTGTTTCACCTGTGTCCCCTGCCTCCCCTCTGTATATAAGTCTCCGTGCTTCCCCTTGTCTTGTTCAGGCCGTCGTCTTGGCCTCACCACCCTGTTGTCATTTCTCCTTCATTATCCCTCTCTTGTGAGTTTTTTCTTGTTGCTAGTGTTTTTCTGTTCATGGGTTGTTGGATTATGCCTTTCTGTAAGAACTCTACCTTAAAGGTACAGTGTGTAGAATTTTGTGATATCTCGTGTTGAAGTTGCATGTTGCAGCTGAACATCCCTCACTTCACCCTCCCCTTCCAAACATGAAAAAGAAACTGTGGTAGCCTTTAATTGTCATAAAAACTCAAAAGGTGTTTAGTTTGTCCAGTCTGGCCTAATGTAGAAAACATGGCGACCTCCGTAGAGGGTCCCCTCAATGTAAATATAAAGTATTTAAATATAAAGGGTCTTTTCTGGGGTAAAGAAAACTACAATTCATACAATTTAGATGAAACAAATTAGTGAAAACATAATGAGGATTATTCTACATTAAATGTCTGCCACTAGTTCCCTTTCACCTTACAAACTGGACTTTTAATTGAAGGACATGTTTTGTTTATATCTTTGCCTCGGCATTTTTTGGTCCACCTGCTTCTGTGAAACTTGACAAAATGCTTGTAAAGGACACTGAAGATGTGGATTTACTGAGGCCCGCACACATTTGTTTGAACACCCACACAGGTCTATCTGCCTGTGCAGACCTCTGCTTGGGAATGTGTGGATGTGAACGTGGTGGATGAGTGACATGTCTGTGATGATTCAGCTTTGTTGTATCTGTAGATTCAAGAAAACCGGCAAACTTTGCAAAATATTGTGTTCTCACAGTTGTGCTGTCAACAAATTGCATAGCTGTGTCCAGCTTCAAAAAGGAAATATGTCAAATGAGCATGTGTTGATTAAAAAATGTTTACGTATTGCAGTATTGGTAATAGGAGACTATTGCTAATTTGGCTGTTACAGTATGTACAGTGCTATTGTTGAAAACCTCAAAACCTGTTGCAAAGAGGTTGTGGACAAAAGCCCAGAATCTCAGTGGGGGGATCTCACTTACAAAACTGATGGACATGGTGCATAATCATTGGTGTGTGTACAAGCACTTTTGATTGTGTATCTGTGTGTGTTTGTTGCTGTGCTCCTCGGGAGTGCTAGCAGGCCAACTGAAGACAGAAGGAAAAGCAGCACAGCTCTGCACCATATGCCAAATATGAGCCCGTCTGCCAATTTGTGGGGGATACTGGCAAGTGCTAGCAAAGCTGAATTCTTGACAGAGGGAGATGAATAATTGAACATGTGCGGAGCGAAGTTCTGTTGGGATAGAGCGGGGTGCCTTTATACATGGAGAGAGGGAATGGAGACCATCGGGCTGTCTACAAGCAAAACTCTCATTTAGATAGTGATGTGTTTGCTTTTTGTAAACAAGTCAAAAAGTTGCAGAGATTTTAAGTTGAACTTGAATGAATTTATGGTGAGACGTGCATGGAAAATATCACAAATCATTGGTATTTATGCATTTTGATGTCAAACTGCATAAACTATAAACAAAGAGGCCAAAAGCTGTCATCAACCCCGCAAGTGTGCACCACAACCACAAAGAAAACAGATTAGTATACATGTTGAAAAATGAGGAATGCTGGAAGTGAAATCTGTGTAAATCAATAACTTTGGTTATGGAGATGTTTATTCAAATGGGGAATGTATGTTATATACACATTTTAATAATTTAGCAGACAATCCAAATCAGCCAACAGTAAACGCAACAGTAGACGATTACAGGCTCATACTCTTAAAATACTACACTAGACATAGTGTAGTATATATTTTATATATTACACTGACCATTCATCCAGCCCAGTCTCCAGACAACACATATAGTTAATAATTTAAAATGTTGACCTGGAAATACTCAAGGCATATATTTTTAATTCATGTGTTTGAGGGAGGCTTGTGCAGCAGAGGCCCATTTTGAGTTGGACATTATTTCCAGATTTCAACTGTGCAGCACAGACAGAAGCACATCTAATTACCGCTGATGAGAAAAGGAGTATGCTGTCTAGTGCGGCTCCTTCAAACATATTTGACGTTCAGCATGTTGATGTTGCATCAGGTTTACAGGCTGCCTAGTGCAAGAAACTCTTAATGATAGCTTCCAAGTGTGAAATATTTTTTTTCCTTCTTGGAGTATATACTTCTATTGGATTTTTTATGTTGTATTTGGCATTAGAGCCTGTAGCGGTGGGAAATCTCTCCTAAAATATCACAATCTTTTTCACACACTGTCATGATCCATGATCTGAAGCTTACTTCCCAAATGTGCTGATGAGAATATCCAGACTGGAACCAGCCTACGGATGTATTGATTTGCACCATTTAAGACACAGTGTTGAGGATATGATAAGTTGAGCACCTGCTGAGGGAGTAAACGGCCGTAACAAACAGGGTGTGTCTCCAGGTCTCAGGGTCAACAAGTAACTCAGGTCTTCTACAATATTTGTCTGTAGGGGAAATGTTTCATGTGAGGTTTCCAAAAGACTTCATGTGATGTGGTTTCAGACAGAATGATAAGTATCAGTAAATGGTTCTGCCTTCGACATTTCAATCTTCTAAACTTCATCATCAATTCATTCACACCAAGTGATGATGACTTGAACGATACGAGCATTGTCCCATTTGTGTCATATGTTACATGTTCCCATTACTTTGGCGTCATCATTGACACATTTTGTCATCTATAAGAAAATTGACTTCTCCAGCAAATCTAGGAAACATTATTGTACAACATATGGTAGAATTATTCCTTTCAACAAGATTAAGTTTTTTTCCATGCTAGCATCTGTGAGGCTGCGCTAAGGAACTAGAGCGCTGAATGCTACCGTCAGCATCCTCACAATGAGAAATGCTGACAAGCTAATGCCTACAAGGTAACATCACTGAATTTTTTATGCCGATCCACGTATACAGTATAGAAAAGTTGGAAAGGTCAGTAGGATTCATACATTTGGGACCATGAATGTTCGCACACAATTTCAAGGCATTTGCAACCAAGAATTCTTGAAATACATTGTAGTGTGGCTAAAAACTCAAACTATGGAGTTGGCTTTACTAAGCAACTCTACTGGAGGACGTTAGAAGGGCAGGCAACCAGGAGAGAGAGACGTCAAGAGCCTCCACCGCTGCTGCTCGCATTTCTGTCACCCAGCTGTGGTGCCAAGGTTTTAACAAATGCCGCCCACAGTGATACACATAAGTGTGTGCAATGTGCATATGCAATACACCGCAATTCTCTTGTGTTTCAGTGAGTGAGCACAAGAGCAATATAGACAACACAAAAAGCATTTAGACATAATGATGCATCTCACTGCTTGAGGCAATGACAAGAAGTATAAGAGAGAAAACAAACTGTATTGTGGTTAAATGGTGTAGCCTGGATAATAGACAGAGACAAATGTGAGCTACTACGTAGTTTTGACAGCACATTTTCTCCAATAGTAGCCCTGCGTTCTTTGGATGTCGCTGTCAGGCTATTGGCTGTGACTTTCCATTAATCCTCAAGAATTGATCTGTTTTATTCTCTTGTTTAACGGTGACTTTAGAATTGCTATGCCACTTTTACTGAAACCTATTATGTTCTAATCATTGTCTCCTCTCTCCTTTCCCCTTGCCCCCTGTCTCCCTCTCTCTTTCTTGCTCGCTGACAGACACCACCCTTTCGAGTGAACGGGGTAAGTAACGCTGCCGCACACTCTCCCTTGATTTAGAGCCATCCATGCGAGGACTCTGTCAGCAAACAGCGGATTGGCCATTTGTGTTGATCTGGAGGGAACCATTGTTCGATTCTGGTCTCAGAGGGGGAGCACCGAGCTACAAACTCCACATTTGCATCACCAGAAAGCTATTTTCCCCTCGATCACATTGCATGTCATAGCAAATGTTGACATGGAGAAAAACATCAAGTGCAGGCAATTATGAAAGCAGCATCCACAGACCCCTGTGGCCAATCAGAGTTTGAATTTAGCATATTTCCCATGCACGCATTTTGACCTACTTAGTCAATTTACCCCCATTTGACTCCAATAGTGTACAATGAGGAGCCGATAAGCAGTATCTATTACACTCTGTCTCATTCCAGCTTTTGTAGAATTTGTTTCCATGTAGTCTAAGTAGACAGTAGATGGATTCTCCCACTGTGACAGCCCCTCTTTTCAGTCTTGTTTCAAATTTCACCCCCATGTTGTGCTATTATTAATGACTTCCTGTTCTTGGAGGAGCAGTTTAATCACTTCATCAAACAGGCTGAAAGAGAGTGTCTGCAGCACTGCAGCACTTTGTGTATATCCTTAGTTTGCGTGTGTGTGTGTGTGTGTGTGCTTGCTGTGGTCAGACATCTGGTTTGCCCCGTAAGCAGCATGAAAGCACCTGTGTCAGCCACTCTGCCTCTTTAGCACTGCTTGATGTGCATATAGATGTTCCCACTGTACATTTCAGCATCAGAGTTTCACTACGGCTCTGAGACAAGAAGTGATCTTGCTGAAGTTGCTCTCTGCCCTGTGAAGCGTGATGGTTTGGGGCTAAATGTCGAGATAATTGGCGTGATGGTATCACAAGTCGTAGACAAAACACCACTCCCTTTGTGTCTGCTTTTTGAAACCTCAAAGTGATTCCAAGGAAGAGAAATGTAAAGTTGTGGTTGAGATGAAGCACTTGAGGTTTATTTTTTATGTAGCTGGTTAACCTCCATCTGCTGGGGGAAGAGATGAAGATACGCAACACAGGGAAGCTTGTGAAATCAATTTTTCATGCCAAGCAAGCAACAGTGTGGCACTCTCTCTCTCTCTCTCTCTCCCCCCCCCCCCAAAAAAAAAATCCAGTTAGGCTTAAAGAAAGAGGGGATGTTACAGTAAGATTTATATTCATTTTTAGAGTTATCCTTGATGTTGACCTCAGCTCTGCCTTTCTTCACTGCCCTGCAGCTCGGACATTTAAACACCTGCATGAGCTCTCTCCTCTACCACAACTTTCCATTTCCTTACAACTGAGTCATAACACAATGTGAATGATGTTCCTCAGTGAAAGTCAGAAGAGAAGAGGGGATGAATGGATTACAATGAGATGAGAAAGTGAGGCAAGCAAGGGTAAGGTCTGTGTGTCCTTGGTCCATTCAGGATGCACAGCAAGCAGGTGGGCATTCAGTAGACTGAATATAGACTCAGCAGAGCAAACATCATTCACTCCATTCAATCTGTTTTCCTACATATGTATGTTTTTGGAAAAGCAAAAACATACAATATATACCTGCAGTGCAAAACACGCCGCTCCATCCCTGCATATTCCTGTGCTTAACAAGCTCCTCTCTGCCCCTTCAGCAGCAGGGGTGTGTGAAGTGACTGCTGGCACATCCTCTCCCAGCTTAATTGGCTGTACCTTAGGCAGGAGGGCAAGGTGTAATGGTGATAAGGGAAAACGCTGTGCTTGGCTGGTTTTAGTGCCCTTATCTATAATCTCGGGATTGATTATGGTGTTTCTGCCAGCCGTGCAAATTGTTTAACTCCGTCACCTGCACTGGAAACCTCTGTCTTGGCTAAACTACCGTGCCAACTGTAAACTGGATGGTGCATTTATCTGCTGGTTAGCCTACAATATCCAATCTGCTACTGATATCTGTTTTTTGTTTGCGCTGACAAAGGACTTCGTGCTCTCTCGCAGATTTGCCTAAAGGCAGCAGGGTTTATAGAGACTGCACAGTTTAGCATCTGTTGTACCATATGAATCTCTTTTTTATGGTCAACTTAACAAGCCTATCTACCCACAGTTCCATGTCACTAACTAATTTTACAAATCAAATTTCCGCTGCATGCTGAAATATATTACAGGTTGAGTTTGATATGCAGGGGAATACACTTAGTTGCTTTCTGAATGAGAATAAGATGACACTCATATGTTAGCATGCTAACTGTATAGCTTATCCTGCAGCCAGTTGACTTACGTCCCTTTTACACAAGTCAAAAAAACCTCACTAGCAGTTGCTAACATCTGGCTTTTGTCTGCATTCAGGGTCAAATGACACCAGTGGACACAGGATTTATTCAGCTTGTTAGTGATGGACACTTGAAACCTGGTTGAACGGGCACATTTTGACAGTGAGATGAGACAGGGCCTCTGTTTTCGGTGCATTTTTGACTTTGAACATTACGATTTTGGAAAAAGATAAATAGGCAAATTCCTTAAGGAGATTTTTGAGTGTGTGAAATTTAGTGCAGATTTAAGTCAAAATCAAGGTCTAGCAGATTTGAATATGGTTTCATAAGGGGCCTGATAGAGCTCCACTGAGTGCCATTCTAGTTCTATTTTAAATCCTTTGTACCTTGTCATCTAAATCTTGCCAAGAAAATAAATAAGCATCTGTCCCAGAATGCTGAACTATTTACCATTACATAAACTCTCTACTGCTACACCAGATGCTTTGAGGAGAGTCTCTCCCTCACTCTGTTGGCACCCCCCACCCCCCTCTTTCATTGGTTCTGAGTAGTGGTTGGGGCTGACAGAGCACCTAATGGGCTGCAAAATGTCTCCAAAGCTGGTGCTACAACAGAAGCTGATGTTTTGAAAACCCTTCTGAAACAACAAGATTTCAGACAGTGCAAAGCGGAGCAAAAAGAGGGTGGGATGGGGCATCCCATGGTTTCCTCTAATGTCTCAGTGAGACCATTTCTTTCAGCCTAATTGTAGTAGAGTTTTCCTTGTGGCCTTGGTAAAATGGTGTAATTGCCAGCTTGTTGAGCTGCACTCTGTAGAGTTCCTTTTTGTCATGTAACGAAAAATCCTGAAAGCAGCTCACTGGCATCCTGGCATTTGCTGGTTCGGTCTAAAGTCTGGCTGCAGAGCATTGTGCTTAGTCGGTGCTTATTCAAGGCTCAAGGATATTGACAGGGCAATGTGAAATATTACAGTTGGCAATTTTCTCAGGACAAGTTGATTTACCTGCATTGAACCTGAGATTAATGGTGCCAAGGGAAACAGGGGATGGAGTTTCACAGCGTGGAAGAGTTAATAAAAGCGTGTTAATTTGAAGGGCATTCTTACTCTTAATCTTACTGTTGTGTTTTATTTGTGATATTGTAAAAATTAAATGCCTTTGCCAATGTGAAGCTGTGTTGAATGCAAGTCTTGATAATACGTGAGCATTTGTTTCTGCTCAGCTGCTTCTCTTCCCCCTCAGTACCAATTAAAGCTGTTTTTCTGCAGCAGATCTCGAGCTGATGAAGACAGCCACCAAGAGCTCTTGAAGTAAAGTCACACAGGACCTGTATGGCAGATGGTTTGAGCAAGAGTATGTGCAAAGAGAGAAAGCAGCGGCGAAGGGAACAAACAAGCATAAAAATGGCAGCCTGCCTCCAGCGAGGAGCTCCTGTTTTCTACCCAATTTAAGACTTTCCGTTTCTAAATTTTCAAACTTTTCCTCAAAAATACTGTCAAACCTGCCGAAGACCAGAGGAAAACATAAGATCTTGTTCTGTGGAGAATTTTTGCTCACCATCTTCCGAAAAACTATCCAGACAAGTCAAGTATTTCTTGAAAAAAGGAAAAAGGGCTTGGAGCTGCTCGGCCTCACGGCTTTGACCAGCTCTCCCAGCTGAATGGAAACAAGCTTTACTGCGGCCTTTAGCTACAAAGGCTGAGGCGGCAGCGAGTGCAGGCACAGAGGACACTGCCTAATGGCTACAAGTCCAGCTTCTCCCAGTGGATTACGTGTTTTTAAAAGATAAGGTTTGATCAGGTTTTTTATAGAGGAAAAAGCCCCTTTTTATGATGCAGATGAGAGCAGACAGGAAACTCGCTGGAACCAATGGGCTCCCAGGCTTTGTGCTGAGATTCAAATGAGGAAGACCACATTCAATACAAGCTTTTCTTCATGGTCACACCACTGCTCTGGGTCTCACCTGTGCTCCATTTTCTTTCAACTCTGCTCATTTCTGTCGTAAAAACACACGTCTGTTTTCAAGCATGTGGGGTTATTTCTGTTTGAATCTCAATACTGTGCCTTTATCATCTCAGCTATGGTGTATACTTGACCAATTAGTTTGCATCTGTACTGGGACTAATGAAGCCACATTTCCTGGGGTTAATTACACCAGCATTATGTGATATAATGAGGAACAGGAAATGTTAAAGTGCACTTTATTATCTCTCTCTTGCATCATCACCTCCTGCTGGGTGAGACTTTCTCCTCTCCAGTGCTCCCTACATCCCTTTATATAACATTCCTCTCCCCTCTGCTCAGTACTTCCAGACACATCCTCCCCTTCTCTCAGCAACAAGGCTGGATAGTAGCATTAAGGGCTTCTGAGACAAAGCTGGTCTGGGCGGATCTCCAAACAATTAGAGTGCAGAGACCATTATTAAGGCCAATTGCTACCGCCTGCTACCAACAGTTAAGTTACGATGTTTCCTGAAAAGACCCTCAGTGGTAGAGCTACAGAACAGTGTCAATCTCCAACATCAGGGTTGGAATTATAACGTACTACCGTGCTGACATCTGCACGAGGCCAGGTCCTCAAAGAGGCATGCTCATGATTGGCACACAGGTTTGCACAGAGAGCATTAAGTTCCCTAATTTTGAGGAAGAAAAAAACACAAGCGTGATATGTTTTCCTCACATTTCACCTCAGACACACAGCTTCTCGGAGGCACACAAAATATTATAGTTTGCTTTAATATGAAGTAT